GAGTTTTTCATAAATTAAATGTATAAATTAAATGATATTTAATTTATAATAAAGTTATAATGAAAGTTAGTTGAGATCCAGAAAATGTACTATTCTTTGTAAGTTTTGTAAGATATTTTATAGATTTTTTATGATGATTACAAACTGTTAGATATTAAAAACAGAAATTGTGTGCTTTAAAGTCCTATTCGATTGACCATTTGTGTACTTTTTGACCACTCATGCCACTCAGTTGCGCTACAAATAGATTGACTTTTATGAGGGACAGAGATAGAGGAAAGAAGCCCTGACGAGCGAGATAAGTAAAGGCCATCCATGTAGATTCATTCCCAAGTATTCTGTTGGATCATTGCTGCTCAGATGGCGATATCAATGCCCAGACAGACAAGAAGCCCACCACCTGATGGTAATTGTATTGCAAAACGCGCTTCCCTCCATCTCTCGCCAAAAAAGAAAAACAAATTTAAGATGGCAGAACAATGGATCTTAATCAAAAAGAAAAGGCAAAACCTTGATTTGGATGTCAAATCCATGTTGAAAAACTAATCACCAATGTCTCATTTCCGACATGTATACGCGATAGCAAAAGAGGTATAATTGTTGGTTAATAAATACAACCCGGTACAAGGATAGATTAGTTGCAATGTATATAAGGGATGAGGGGTAACAGTAGTAGGAGTAGGGGGCAACACATTTCCGACCCTATAAAGTACCGTTTGCAAGTCAACATGGCCACAAAAGAAGGGTCCTTTTTGTACAGTTAAACGGGTTTATTGCATTCGTGCAGAAGGTTGCAAAAACCGTTTCCTCCTCCGACCTTATTGAGTATATAAATTATTTTCCAGGCATATGCCTGTAATAATATCCACATAATTGTTATGCTATGTATTATGTAACAGAATGGTCTCATATATATATATATATATTTTTTTTTCAAAAACATTAACCCAAACTTGAAATTTAAATACTACTAATCTGAGTGGCAGTGGCAATCATAGGCACTTGTATATAAATGTTTCTTTCTCGTTTCAAGAAATAAATCAAATTGTTCCATTGTCTTGATGGATACAAAATCACAGTGGCAGGCCAATCTCGAGGCCGTGAAAGATTTCTGAGATCTCGGAAATCTTAAAGATCTCTGACCAGCCAGTTGGCAAGGTCGACCATGCCTTAATTATTAATACACATTACATAGCTTTAATGGCTTAATCGAAATGTGGGAAAGGAAAATACGAAAAATCGATTAGATTGGAAATAATTATTAAATATTTTGGTTTTAAGTTTGCTTCACATTTATTTTACAAATTTTAATTTTACATATTTAAGTAATTGCTTTTACTTTTGCCAAATATTTTACTAGGAAGTAAGTTTTTGAATCTGATAAACCAATAGGTTTATTATTTTATATTCTGACTGATTGAAATCATTCTTTCATTGTAAGTGAGAAGATTAATATTTCACCACTTCTTTGTGTATATACATATATAATACATATATATCTTTTTTTTTGGGCGCCGCTGCAATGCAATCCAACAATGGCCCTTTAATCGGGCTTATTTCTGAGTTCGTTATGGTAATGAAAATTGGACAATAAGTGGCCGTACGGTTGAATACAAAACTGAGGCTGGCTTCCTGGCTGGCAAGAGGGAATCTTGTTGCAAAACAACAAAAACACACACCAACAACAATAATAATAACAATAACAACCAAGAAGCCGAAAACAACTTGGACTTGGTGGAAAATTCAATTTGGTGCCAGCAGCAGCAGCAGCAGCAGGATCAAAAAAAAAAAGATACAAGAAAACACTGCAAAAGCGAGTGCAATAAATTGTTACATTCGCGGCACGACGCGCACCTGACACATAAGCTCCAAGTTGTCGTCTTCATCTGCGCCGCAGCAAAAACCCAAAAGAGAACTCGACCTGTAGGAGAGTTCGAAATATACAATATAATATATATATATATATATATATATATATATACCCGATCCCACCATATCCCGAGACCAAAAGGCCCAACTGAGAATGGAGAACCGAGACCCAAAGCGATTACGATCTGGCCAAAAACTGTTGCCAAGTCGATCGAGCACTTCGAGCGGAAGATTGAACATCTGGTGGCTTGCTGTGAGGTAGCGGAGGTGGCGGCCCATTGGATCACAGTGGGCTAAATTTCAGTTTTGTAAATTTGGTATCACACAGGATTTTAAAGATAGTTTTTAAGTAATTTTAAGCTAATATTTAGAAAAAAATTGTCAAATTTCTATTAAGAACTATAACTTTCTGCTTTAGTTTGTAAGATCTAATTGCATTTTATAATCAATGTACCAGCTTTTTGGAAAAATGCGAAATGCTATTAATTTTAATTATTTCCATAGGTTTAAAAAACTACAAAATGTTATATATTATTTTAAAATTGTATAAAGAACTAATTAATTTAAGACTTAACAGTAATAACCTAGTCAAAAATCTATCAATGTATTAGCTTAAGGCATTTGCTTTTTCTAAATTGCAATTTATTGCTTTTCGTTACATATAATATGATCTTGAACCACTGTCCCAGCGGTGACTGCTCTGCAATTATACGCCATGGCTGGCGGGGGTGGTCGGAATGGGATGAGATGAGATGGTCAGCGGATTCAGTGGATTATACGAGCCGGCGCTGGGCAGCAACAATTACGATGACGAGGTCGGACTTGGATGTGTGGTTATGGATATATGGATGGGATATATGGATGAAGTGGATGTGTAGCTGTGGCTGTGGATGTGAGAACAATGTCCCATGTCCTCCATTATTGCATCTGCACATTCGTGTGTTTTGCTGTTGCCGCTGCCTTTGCAATCTTATTTTATGCCACCGCGGGCAAAGGGACCACATTCAAGTCCTCCTCATACTCCATAGTACATATTTTTAGTGTTGTTTTTTAAAAGTTTTTTTTTTCAAAAAGGAAAGGGGAGCACAAATCGAGCAAAATTATTACTGTCCTGGCGAGTAAAGTGAAGGAGTGACTGGAGAGATCGTTGGATCTATAACTGCCCCACTTCCCAATTTTGTACTGCTCCTAGTTGGACAGTCTACATCACCTTTGTGGATGTTCTTGTTATTTACTTGACTTGCCTTTGGCAAAATATGCTAATTAATAGACAGCCAATGGGCACTTAAAGGCAGAGAAAAGGTATGCCATTTATCTGATCCAATGACTGAAATCACTGGTATTTAAAAGGAAAGTAACTTAATACAAGAATATATTTGAAAATATGGTTTAAAGTAATACTTTACTGAATGTATCAGGGTATATCTTTTTCCTTTTCGAGAACAATTGGTCTTCAAATTAAGAAGTAATAAGAAGTAACTTTGATGTTTTAAATAGATTAAATACTTTGATCATTTTAAAATGTATTTGGGAATAGTCTTTAGGTAAATTCAAGTGTAAATGTTTCTAGTAAACAGTTTTCCTTGGAGATTTTGTCAATAAATATTACAAAATTTTATAAATTACCTAATTATTGTCACTTTTGTTCAGTGATTTGACAAGCTAGTTCTTCTTATTGTGTTATAAAGAATTACTCAACATTTTTTATTTGTTACAACAATCTTTCTTAATTTGAAAGTGATATAATAAAATTGGTGCTCATTCAAGTGGTGCAATGGTAAGCAAGTGTCAGAGGGTCTTTAGCACTGTTTACCTTGCGGTTGGATTGGGCTTTCGGATCGGTCTTTCAGACCTGGAGGCACTGAGGCATTGGCCTCTCCGCTTTGGCTTCAACTCAACTGGCGCCCATTGTGGACGCCTGAGCGACAATCTTTGTCGTCAGCCAACCATGATCCCCAGGTGCTTGGGAAGCGGGAAAACAAAAGTTGGAGTTGAAGTCAGTGTTGGGTGCTTAATGCAGTTCCAGCCTGTCATTCGGTCTTTGTCTCTTGGCCACCTTCTTTAAAAACACTGGGAAAAAATTATATTTAAGAGAAAATGTTGCTAGAAAGGAGTACTTTACATAATAAAGAATCAGTTAGTTATAGCAAAAGAAAGCGTTGAGTTCCTTTAACCAAGAAAATCTTACTAACTGAATTCCAATTGCAGTGAAAAGATGCGAAACAAGTGTGGAAAAGTTGGTTATAAGTCTAGGTGTTATTGGCAGTTGTAAATAAAGCTGGAAAAGTCAACTGCCGTTCTATTGCTAATTATAAGCATGGTGTAAATTTACAATGCACTGTGCTTACAGCTCACGAACAACCGATTATATATGACTATATAGTTATGGCCTCCGTTGTGACTCGACAATTGCGCCCACATATTTATATATACTTATATATATATATATATATCTTTGACAAAGGTTGAGCAAAAAGACAAAAGGCAAATGTCGGAACTGTGTTGTCAGGTATATTTTTCCCACTCACACATTTTCATTCAGAATTTCTTATGTCTTAATTTTGTCATTTTGAAATGAAGAACTCGGAGATATGTATATTCACATTTCATTTATTGTTCATCACTTCTGCGAATAGGAAATCAATGTTTAGGCAAAAACCTCCACCAAAATACACATAAACATCAAGGCACACACACACACACACACACGTGCTCGCAAAAATACACACCAGCATACACAAACGAGGTATTATATTTGCGCGGAACCGACCTTGAGATTGAATAAAAAAAAGAGAATTAATAAAAACCGAAATGACCTGTTTAATTCATGAGAAAATCCAGATGGAAGATATGGCTAAGGCTGGGAAAAAAGTGGGGAGTGCTCGTTTGAGGGAAAATCAAGGCTAAATGAAAGCGCTTTTCAAAGCGATGGGCTCTTTGGGGTTATGAAAGATTGGTATAATTTAAGAATTTATTCGCTGGTTAATACGTATCAGTGTTGCCAATTTGTTCTTTTTGAGGACAGGTTTAACAACCCCACGCTAAATTCGATTTTGGCCATTAGAATTATTTATGATCTCATAAAATACTTACAAGTAATTAATATAAATTATTATTTTTCTTTTTTGTAGATTCGGATTATATCAAAGCGGCGCACGGTTACAGAATTATGAAGTAACGGATAATTACCTCCAGCGCATGGAAACGAAGAAAATGACAATTACATCATTTAACTAATGTGCTTAAAATCGTCTTACGGCAGAGCATTTACTAACGCAAATACAAGAAACCGTGTCAAATTCGAAATTTACTCTAAATTGCAAACAGAAGGTATATCGAATGAATTCCAGTGCAAGTGTTCGAAGATGTTCCAGGAAGAAACAAGAACAAAATATATTAAGTTTGGCTACGGAATGAGACGGAAAGAGGTAACCGAAAAATTGATAGTGTAATACCGCCACGAGCGCTCAAAGCTTATGGGCGAGCAAGTCCCTATGCTCCGAGCATTTACAAAAACAGAGCATAGAGGCGTTGAGCATCCCTGATTTAAGGTTACCCATTTACCCATAAAACTGTTAATTACGATAGGTTAAGATCAGAAGGCACTGAACAGATTCCGGTGAAAAATTCGGTCCTTCGATAGATGACTTAAAAAATCTCGCATCGAATTTGAAAAGGTTATAGACGTATAATTCCCAATCACTCAAAAACAAAACTTAACAAATACAATGGTAAAAAGCTAACAATATGACATACACTGATCCTGATAAGCAGGTTTTTTTTAACCGGCAACCACAATATGCAGTCTCACTTACAAATAGGCTAATTAAATCACACTTGATCAAATTAGAGATAGTGAAAAGTTGACAGGGAACACGGAACCGGTACATAAATACATATGTACAAACATATATACAAGTAAGATCAAAATAAATATGAATGTGGATACCGTTTAGATGGTTCATTAACGTAGCCTTAGGTTTATAACCATATCTATTTTATATCTAATCATATTTCAACTTTTTAAGGATTATATTTTGCTTAAAAGCTTATAATAACAGCAATCAATTGTCAAGGTTTTTTAGTATTTGCTATATAAATACTTTTTATTGATAATTAAAACGTTTATCCAAGTTTTATATTTCCTATGTTATAAATTTGTTGTTTATTTGTTTTCATATTAGCATAAATATTATAGCTGAGTTATATTTTATATTTTTGGTTTTTGATCTATTCTTTTTTTATTTAATAACTAATTCACTATAACTTTCTTTGTATTAAAATATATAAGAATTAAGCCATAATTCTTTCTCTTAAAAAAAAACATATTTTTTGTTTTAAAAACAGTTTTATTTCCTAGATTATTTTAAGATTAAATGCATTTGCTAGGAATTAAAATGGAATCTCCTTTTTATGATACTTTCTTGTGATTAAAGTTAGTTTTTACTATCACAATTAGTGAGATTTCCCTAATAAGTTCTTAACTCACCTGTTTATTGTTTGTGTTTGTGTGCGTTGTTGGTGTTGGTGCATTTGTTGCTGCAGTTTATGTGCTTGTAGTTGTAGATGCCGTTTTAGTTGTCACATATACACATACACACACACTGACAGGCACACACGCACACATGCAATACCCACGTGCGGGTGCACGAGATTTAATTTGTTGTTCTCGAAATGATTTTTCTCCTTGTATTTTATTTTGTTGTTTAATTTGGCTTTGTTTTTTTTTATTATTATTATTTTTCTCTTAAATATTTTTTATGATACGTTTTCGTTGTCTTCTTCCTTTTCGTTGCTGCTGTTCATTTTGATAAACTCATTTAAATTGGCTAAAAATAATAAATGGGATATTCCGGGCACTAAGTTTTGGTATTGGTTTGATGTTTTTTTTTTCTTAAAGTTTTTAAATTTTGTTGTAGGTTTTATAATATATGTAAGTTCTGTTCAGATTTTCATATTATTTTAAAGATATCTCTCTAAATTCTTCCGTTCGAAGAGGACGGACGACAGCCGTTTGTCGCAGTACCGCCGCTTTTGAAAACAGTTATAAAGTCGCGCGACATCGAACGAAAATTGGCGCTGCTTGCTGGCTATTTTTTGCTTTTTTTTTGTATTTTTTTTGGACGCGTCGCGTCGTGTCGCGTCGCGTGGCGTCGCTGCTTTTTGCGACCCACCCGATGTGTCGCCATTTTTCTGGCTGGCCAAAAACTTTTATGCACTTTGCACTCTCGCATATTGCTCTATCTCGTTTCCTTTCCCGCTCGCACTCGCACGCGCCTATGCACATGCAATTGTTGCTATCTCGCTTACACACGCCCTGTGCGACACAAACAAACCAGCCAGCCAACACACACATATAAACAGTAAGAAGAGGGACACCCACACACACACACAGAGACACCCGCGCAACATACAATCAAAAACCCATTCGGCTACTCGCCCACCACGCCCCCTTTTGCCCAGTCTCTCTCGTTCTAATAAAAGACCCCCACCACGCCACCTCGCCCCACCCCTCGCATTCGTTTGCGTTTCGACCAATGACACTCGACGACAATATTAGCGAGCACACACACATACAGTTACGCACTCTCACACACACACGCACACGCAAAAAACGAGTCACAAAAAACGAAATGTCGACGTCGACGGCGACCGCGCCGCCGGCAGAGATGCTGGGGACATACGAATCAAATCGAAAAAAAAGGGAGAAATATTGAAAGAGAAAAAGGAGCACGGCGGTCTATGGGAGTGTGTGTGTGTGTGAGTGTATGTAATCCAATCCAAGAAGAAGTGGGCGTGGGTGGGGGTGGATTGAAATAAAAAAAAAAAAACGAAGAACCGAACGCCAAAAACGCACTGTGTGTGTGCAAAAAGCAAGGAAGCCAATCCAAAAGACGCAACACGACAAGCGACAAAACGACAAGGCGACAAACGACAAACGACGAACGCTGGGCGACACTTGGCTGGGGGTGCGAAAGAGATGGTCACACTCGGCAATTGGCATGCACCAAGAAGAGGAAGAGCAAGGAAACCGAAGAAAAAACAAGTAAGTAAATAGGAGGCACACGAAGCAGGACATTCGCCGTTATCCTGGAAAAAACTACCCCCCTCCCCATCCAATACTCTCTTTATATTTTCTCACACCCACACAAATGTCCTGCGAGGGGCGGAGCACCAATACCAATACCAAGTCACTTAAATCCTTGTTTTTTTTTTTAATTTTTGGTTTTTGTTTTTGCTTTTGTTGCACAGTTAAAAACATTAGTGTTGTAACAATAAAAAAAAATACAAAACTGAAAATGTATAAACTAACGGTTTTAGCGACGGCAAAACACAAGCGGCTTTTTGATTTGTTTTTATATTTTAAAAATTTTTTTTAAATTTTTTGTTGTTTCATAAATTTTAAAAACTTTGATAATAAACCACGTCGTTTTTTATATTTTTAACCGCTAACTGATTTTCCCGATTCTTTGCTTGTTTTTCTTTTTTGGTTTCCAACAACCGATTCTCCCGTTTACCGATTTGCGGTGTGTGCGGTGCGATGCGATGCGGCAGCGGCAAGTCGACTTCACTGTTTGAAATCACGTCGCTGCCGCTTTTGCTGCTTTTGCCGCTTGGCGCTCTCCTCAACAGAAAAACCAACAACAACAAAATACACGAAAAAAATAACAACAACATAGCGAGCAAGAAAAATGTACAACAACAACAACACGAACGTCTGGGAGCCAAACAAAGCACACGCACACATCTACACATACACGCAGCTCTTCTATTTATATGTGATTCTCTGGACACTCGCACACACTAATAACACTAACAGCAACATACACACGCAGAGCGCACCCCAATTCACACACACTGGTACACACTGTCCATTCGTTTGTATCGCCAGCTCCCTTGCACTCGCACTGACAGATCCAAAAAGCAAGCAGTTTGAAAGCAGTGCTTCGGTTTCTAAGAGCGACAATCGAGGAAAGAGAGCAATATTCCATAGCTCTTTGGCTTCAAAAGAGATAAGTCCTTGGACTTTCTGGTCGGTATGGTTATTTTTACGTTTTTTCCTTATAATTTGTATGTAATTATTTATCAATAGAAATTATTAATGGGCAATTGGAATTTTTCCGTGAGAAATAGTCATTTTTTACCTGTTTGTATTTTATTTCAATTGTATAATTTTTTCTTTAACGTTTTTATACTGAAGGTTTTTTTTGAAGGTTTAAATCATGTTTAATATTTTACAAAAAATTTTTTTTAAGATTTTTAAATTTCTCAAAAATATATTATATTTTTTTTATTATTATTTTTAAATGTTTTTAGTTTTCAGATTTATAATGATGATGATTTTTATGATTTGTAGAACCTTTCCAAAGGCTTTTAATAAACATGACATTTCCAAAGAATATATGAAAATATAATGTTATTTTGAAATTATTATAAACTTTTCTAAAATTCCTTTTTTTTTCAGAAAATTCGATAATTTGCAAATCATCCAATTTAAAGTTTACAATTTTAATGTATGTATTAAAATCAATTCCTTTCAGATATTAATTTTTACATTTTCATTTCAGTTCTTGGTTTTTTTTAAAATTCAAGCTGCAGAAAACAGTCTTTGACTTAGCTTTTCGACTTGTTTTGACTAATTTATAGCCTAAAAACCAGGAAAAATTGAATATTTTTATTTTTTTTAACAAAATTAAATCTTTTATTCAATACCAGCTGGTAGGGCCTACGACTCAAAGCATTTTGGGCCATTTCCCCCCAAAAAAGATGACCCCCATCCTTATAAAGGAGAAAGAGAATGTAGAAGAGAATTAGAATTAGAATTCTTTCTAAAATATGAGGTAAGGGGATTTACTGTTGCTTAACTTGAATATTAAAACGTATGTATTAGTTTTGTATTTCACCTAAAATATTTCAATTTTTTAACTTGTTTAATTAAATTACAATAAGTTAGTTTTATTACAAAAAATTAAGATATCGTTTTTCAAACGGACTTAAGGTTTTTAAGCAATCTATGTTATTATTTTATGTTGAACTACCCATGGCAATGCCATTTGAATACATTCCCACATTAAATATTCCTTTAAGCTTTTAACTGCAATTCCTTACACCACCAAAAAAAAGAAAACCAAAAACCCTGGAGAATTGGATGCACAAACCAAATGTCAATTGCATACAAATGGGATAAATTTATATCCTAGATATATATATAGGATATATGTATGTATATATATTCGTGTTCCTGGATTTGTAGACACATTTTGTTTATTGGATGCGAAAGTAAATACGTGAGTGTGTGTGTGTGTGGATGGCCATGTAGAAGTTGCACATGGAGTTGTGCCCACAAGATAAGGATATATATAAATATATATACAGATTTATATATATATATACATATATAGATATCTGCAACTGTATGTGGGTGGTAAAGGGGAAGTGGAGGGTCAAATCCTTAACCAAAAAGGATCTGCCCCACGTCCATAGAGCGCTCCCTTTCCCCCGCACAAAGCACCCAATCCGAATCCAAAAGTCCGACAGAGTGCGGCGATCTCGTGGGAAGAGGGAGCGTGGTCTTTCGGGTTTGTGGAAGTAGTGGGTCCATAGGACTTCGTGTGACACATGAAAATGTGTCGCCAGGACCTTCCATCTCTCTCGATCTTTCCTGCTCACTCTCTCACGTTCTGTCTTTCTTTCTCGTTCATACTCTCGTTGGCAATCTCTCTCTCTGTCTTTCCCTCTCTCTTTTTTGGCCAGGTGCACCTACTCCCCGCTTTATTGGTCGAAAGCGGAATGGATGGCTGCGCATGGCAAAGAGAGAAAGTCTATTGCTATCTCGGTCTCTGTCGCACAGGGGTATCTTTCGCCGTCGGCTAAGCAGTGCACCCACCCAATACCACCTACCTATCACCTACATATCATCCCCCCTACAAAAAAAAAAATAAATACCCAGAGGGTAGAGTATCCGCTTCGTACCTTTCATTGGATTTTTTAAAACCAGCTTTAAATGCTAATCGCTAGGAAACCAAGGTCGTTCTCAATTCCCTACACGTCCAAATATCTTATTTTAATTTGGAAAATACAGTAGAACTTTAATAAGGCAAACCATTATATATTTTAAATTTGTTAAATTTATTTTGTATGATTTTATAAGTATTTAACTTTATAAATAATTGAGTTAGTAGAGATAACTATTTAATGTTCCATTTAAGGAAGTTTCACTGAGCTTATAACTTGAGGTTAAATTATCTGATACATAAAATATCAAGCTTAATCACATTCCCAACAAATTGACTTCATATTTTTCTCCTAAATATATGATGACCCCCTGGACCCAAAGGCTATAAACCCCAACTGTCGATTGTGAGATAATCCTCAAAACCCATATTGACAAGTGTCCAGTCGGAAACCCAAGAAATGCTCCTCCACTTTTGGCCACATCCACTGCATCTCTCGACTGCAAAAAAAAGAAGAAGGGCTGATTCTGAAGCCAAAGTTAAAGTTGGGAAATTACATGTCTCGGTATCTAAACGCACATTAACCATCGCTCTTCCAAGTCCACAGCCACTTTTTTGTGCGACTGAGCCAGATTGAGAATGCGGCTGGCTGGGTATTTTCCTTGTGCGCCTTCCCTACTTTTCTTATTTAATTTCGATCGATCACTTAGGGAGGACGAATAATAAAAAATAGCATGAACATGCCGCGGGCCAAAAAGTTGGGTAGATAACACAGATACTCATATATATATATATGTATATAGTCTTGTTCAGGGCAGCTCCAAAAATTTCTTAGA